ATCTTTTCTCCCTTCTGTCACTCATTCCAGCCAAAACAGCCCTTTATAATCATATTTTACAGACACCTCAGGTTATTGCATGCGGTTAAACTACTCTGAGAAAGCATTGTTCTCGTGCTGAACACCAGGGCACTAATTAGATTCACCAGACCTAGCCTCACATTCCAACTTAAGATGTGATTATTCTGTAATTTCAAAGACTTCAAGAGACTTATTGCTTGTTTAAAGTGGAATCAAATTAGAACAGAGAAAATAATTTGAAAGAAAACTGGTGATGTAGATACACATGAATAGCTCACTTGACTAATCTTGTCTAATGAACTTTTCGTTTGTAGTTGCACAGAAAACTGGAACAGAGAAAAACAGATTTTCACAACATTTTTGATTCTCTGTCCTCACAATTACAAATCATCTCTCTCTAGAGAGACAAAATAGTTGGTGTGGGCCACCAGCTGCTTCACTAGCATCCGAAACACCTAACAAATAACCTACAGGTCTATTATGTATAATGTTAATGTTATGACTGCATCCTGGTAAGCTACTTTGTATTAGTATTCAGTGAAAGAAAAGAAAATTTAGAAATGCTAAATAGGGATATTAAAGTAAACTGTTGCCCAACTATTTAATTTTCACCACAGAGAGGAGAGAAAAATCTGAGGCTGAATATTGAGAAGAACAGGAGGGAAAAGAGAAAACAGATCGGCTTTCACACAAACGCTCTCTCTCTCTCGCCCTCTCCCTCTCTCTCTCTCGCTCTCTCACACACACACACACACACACACACACACACACACTTTCCCTGGAGCATTAATTGCCATTTTTAGCACACTGCAAAGAAGTGAGAAAGGCATTTATCATTTTAATGTCACAAGAGAACCAGATCTCCATATGTTAACGAGCCCCGGGAAGCCAGCCGACATAAAAGATGGTCCTTAAAAGTTACTCAAGCAAATTATTTAGTCAAACTAAACTGCCTGCAGTGCTTTTATAATGACTCTGTCTTTGTATGTTACCTGCCTCTTTAAAACAATATAAATCACAAAGATGAATAAAAGACACGGGGAACTGAAACCCATAGCAAACATCTGCACCCAATCACAGAGAGAGCTGGTGCATAATTTGATTACACAGTATGAGGGGGACTTCAAACGCTACGAGATGCTCAATTATTAAAACATAATATTTGCATATATTTTGCGATAAGGAAGAAGCTTAAAAATTAGGACAAATCATTTCCTTCTCTAAAGCTACAAAGTGACACTATATGAAATACCGCACGTTGATTAGTAGGCAAGACAGCTCACAGCTGAAAACGCATAAACAGAAGCAGACAGTAACACCATGATGATAAGACCTCATTTTTAATCACACTGAATAAAATATGTTATACGAATTCCAAAGAGCAGCTTCAACACACCATAACTAGCTAGGAAGCATCCAACCAGCTCATCTGTAAACATGAAACTACACCAGCTCATTACACAGGGTGAACCTATTACACACTGATCAGAAAAGCAGTACAAGCTTGTAATCTGCTTATCGGTGAACAGCCTGCGGTAGGGTACATACAGCTCAGCGGGTCAAAGTGGTGGATACAGTATGCAGAGCACTAACTAATATGTTCAGACATGACATCAGCTGCAAAAAAGGCTCACTGAAAGAAGTCTGGATGCATGAATTTGGGGGGGTTCTGACATTTTCTCTTCTTTTTTAAAGCAACACTAGAGAGATGACGTCCCTGTCCAAAGCCAGTCAGATGCCCCATCAAGTTGTGGACCAATATGGACCAATGCTTTTTATGAGTGGGTCAACGTGCATACATGCAGGTGATGTATTAGGGTCTGCAGATGGTTCTGCACTGATAGTTTGTTGGCACTGTGCAAAGAAACACAGCAGACTGTAAGCCCACAAACATGGATGCTAACAATGCATGATTTAAAATTTTAAACAAAAAGCAGCTTTACAAATATTTCATGAAGAAAGAAATGCATTCAGCACATTTGCCAGGCTATGAGGGATACGAACAAAGGAAAGCCCACATTGTGCCTTCAAATATTTAAGTAACTTATAGGAACCACTATAAAATACAGTAAATAGTATATAGAGTGTCACCTGGAAAAGAGAGGTAACTGACAAAAAGCATAAGAAACTGAAATAACGGTAGCAAAATATCACCAGGCTTGCAGAGGATGTACAGAGAAGCCAATCCAATCAGAGCTGCTACAGATGAAATGGACAAAACTTCAGTCAATTCCAAATAAATATGCAAAATATTTTTCACAAATTTCACCACATTCTTGGTATAAATTTTAATAAAATTGTATATACTGTCAGTAAATATGCTGCCATTGGCAAAATGTAGGCAGGATACTGGATCAGAGACTCATCTGAGGTGGTGGGTTTAGGGCTTCTGGGTATACTGTAAGCACTCAGTGCTTGTGGAGTGTGTGTGTGTGTGTGTGTGTGTGTGTGTGTGTGTGTGCAGAGCAAGAGTTGCTTTGTAGTTCTACTAAGTTATAAACCACAGAAAACATATAAGCTGTAGTCTGATTTCTTAGCTGGTCAATAAAGACACATTTTACTTACATTGCACAACTGATTTATTTCTGGATTGTTTCACTACAGTAACAGTGTTTTGTACCTTTGTGTTTTTGTCCACTTGTGCACATGTTCGCACAACTTCAGAAACTCACAGAGGTGTAAGGTTATGGAAAAATGTCTCTCTGATTTCTATGTAACCATAGCAACCTCCAGTAACCCATTTCATGAGGTCAGCTGCACTGGCATCAAAGAGTTAATAACATAAAGACAGGGGATAATTTTGGGCCATACGTAGCATGTGTTTGTGTGTGTGAGTGCGAAGTATGTGTGTTAAAAAGTTAGATTAAATTTCCCCCTTGTGGTTACCAAACAGAGGAAACCAACCTTCTCGATCAAGTGTCTATTCAGCCTCATTACTGGCTGTCCGAAAAGAGGAAGAGTGCAGACACTGATGAATAAGTAGAGGGAGAAGTGAGAGGGAAGCAAATTAGAGGGCACAACTGAGGAGTCAATTGAGCTGTGGCTTCGCACTCCATCCCAGACGCTCTCAAACGGAATCTTCAGGTCACGCTTGTTGCCATCATTAAGATTTTGTTGCTATGGCGATGTGTGCAGTCAGTCCTCTCGCCAGATTCAGATTGTTTCGAAAAGAGAAAGGGAGAGCTGGGGAGCCAGGAGACGGCAGGAAGAAATGAAGGAAATGTGGAAGGAAGAAGGAAGGCTGAAGGAAGAAAGGCCCAGAAGATAAAACGCAGCAAACGCTACTGCAGGATTTTTATTAAATGTAATAAAGGAATTTTTAAAGATCATTTTTATTGATTATTTATATATATATATTCTTGCCTTTCTTTGCAAATTAGAAGTTGCCTCATTTTAACATATTCATGTCTTCTGTAGGAAGATGGTGTAGGAAAGTCTGTAAATAATTAGAGGTAGACTACTCTGTTGTTTGTTTTGGTCCTTTCATGCCGCCCTGTACCTAGACATACAAGACACGTGTTAATTAGTAAGCTTTAGAGGAACTAATAGGTTGTTGGCTTTGGACAAAGTCAGGTTACCTATTTCCAGCAGTTCTCAGGCCTAAGTTAAAAGGCAGAGATGTTTAGCAGAGATATGACAGTGATAATGATTTTATTATCTCTCTTTCTGCAAGAAAGTGAATAAGCACATGTCCTACAATGTCAAAGTTTGCCTTTGACCTGAAACCACTGGCCTAACACTGCACCTGAAGCTCAGTGTTACAGTATACACTCACTGGCCACTTTATTAGGTACACCTGTACAACTGTATGTAATTCAATGTTTCTATATTTCTGTCCTCCCCAGCTACATATATTAGAAGGTTAGACTATTAGGGACACCTCTGAATATAATATAGTCCAACACCACCTTTAACTGTGATCTCAATCATAAACATATAATTGAAGTTATGCATTTATGACAATTTCACCAAAAACTGAAACATTTTGAGCTTCAGAAACACAGTGCTGGATTGAATTACATACAGTTGTACAGGTGTACCTAATAAAGTGGCTGGTGAGTGTATGTCTGCTGTGGTGAACACCATTAACCAAAATGATGCCTACTTACACTG